TTCTCGGGCACTTAGGACCGTTTTTCAACCCTAGTTTTCAGCCCTTCTACCCTCATATGAAAGCTCAAAGACCCAGGGAGTTGATCCTGGCGACGATTTACACAATCTCACCATTTTGGGGGCCAAACAATTTCCTTTTTCAAAAGATACTGTGGGGGCAGGCACTTTTAATGCTAATGAGCTGGTCAGAAATTCTCACTTGAATTAGTGGTCTGCACCCCAAAATGTCTCAAGCTAAAACTTCCGGATCGCAAATACGTGTTGCTTTTATTTTGTGATGTAATGTAACATGTTTTTCAAACTATTTTTCCTGTGATAAGAAGAAACCCAGGCAGTCTAAAACTAACAAAACAGAAAAAGATTTCTTCTTGTCTTCTCCTCAAAGCAAATTTCTTAAAACAAGAATCAGTTATGCTGGCATGGTAAAATGCCTCACGAACGGGAAAATAATCTCTTCAGTCGACGAGTTTCATAAAGGACAATGCAGGATGATTGAAATTGTGAAAGCCTCGACATCCATGTCAAATTCTGTGAAAATTTGAAACTTAATGATTGTTTTTGTATCGCAGTCACGTTTCTCCAATGCATCTCTTGAAAGTCCATAACCACATTGACAATGTAACTACATTATAAGGGTGTTCGTCAAAGTCGTTGGGCGGTTATTTTTGATGAAATTCCATCTACCTTGGCGCTTGTTATAAAACTGCACAGAAGTGGAAAAGGAGTTGTTCCTCTGCGCCGACATCAATGCTTGCTGTACGAGACGCAATGGCATACTCATTCCCATTGTCGACATGCCTGTGGCGCAGGCACCGCTGACGTAGCACTCTGCTAACACTTTGTTGCAGACTTCTTGCCCAAGTCTTCAGGACATCGACATCTCGTGGATGGTCTTCAACACCCTGACAAAACATGTTTGGCCCTCAAACCAGCAACAGTAGTCTGCAGGCCAGTAAATGGGCCCAAAATTGTCTGCGCGGACCGAATCACGATTTGTAGGCTGTCAAATTCCATTAGAGCATTTCGTGGCACTTGGACTTTCAGAAACAGGATGGAATCTACCGGCAGGACTGCCAGCTTGTATTTCTGAAAATATCAGACTAAACGGGGCCCTCCAAATTGTTCTATTTTGCAATGGAGTGTAGGCTCCTATGCATCAATTTTCCAATTGGCGATGGGCCTCATGACTGCTTTTGGGGATGATTTATTTCTAGAGAGAAATATGTTCAAAAACTCATCGGTTAAGCCACTGAAAATTGAAAGGAAAATGAAAGATGAGGAAGTGAGCTTAACTTTGATACGTCTTGAACACCTGAGAAACTTGTGTTTTTGGTCCTGATTTTTGAAGTGAGGGTTTTTATCACTATTGTCTATGGCAGCTTATTTACTGGTCTGTACCCCTTAATTCGATAGTAGTCTGCAAGTTACCCTAAAATAAAACAGCACCCCTAGTGCTATGTGTTGCCCCCTGCCTTTCGAATTTCAATGGCCGGCCATTGATAGGCCATCCCCCAACCCCATTCCAGTCCGTGGCACGGACTTACGCCCCTGCGCTCAGGCTAGCCGACCGTATGAAGGCCAAATCGACGAACTGGTCTGTATGAGCATTCCTGGCCGCCGGTCGAATCCCTGTCACCACGATGTCCGTATCTGTCTCCACACTGCAATTTCTCAGAAATGAACTAAAGGCCTTCGCGTGATTTATCAACCAAAACTGCGTGTGACTCGCGCATTCAGTCAAAACTCTCGCTGAAACTAGGATAATCCTACTAAACTTACAATTATTCACCTTCTGCATGGCAGAACCTCTCCGTTTCCTCAGTTAGAAAGCTGTAATACAAACTAGACATT